AAGTATCAAGCTCAATAGTATGACCATTACAAAATGTGCTACAGGCCCATAGGGACTTTGTGTGTAATTCAGATTCCCAACTGAGATTGTATATGTGCAAGAAGAAGCTCTTGATAGGGTAAGGTCTTCCTTTTTGCCCCCCCCCCCTCCCATACCACTGTAAAACTTGTTTCAATAATGACTTATTTTAATGCAGAGAACAACTACATGTACATGTATCTTTTAATAGGATCATTCAAATCATAATTCACCAAAGATAAGAACTAATGTAGGAAGGGGTACGTGTTGAGTAGGTTCATTTTTGGTTCGAATAAAGATTAAACTAATTAAGGTATTATAGCTTTTGAAATAACTCATTATCATTATAAAATTACCCCAAAATGACAACCTGAACAGTATCGGCTTAAAGATAAAGTTGAGTTCTGGTCATGTAATTGCAATGTGAAACAAACGGTGTGGAATCTATCAGAAAAGGTTGATCATCTAGTATATAAGTATTTGTGTGTATTGCAAGGTTCTGGAATCATCAAAATGATAAGAAATTTGGCCAAACCTTGGAAAATTTGGCCAAATCTTGGCAAAGTTACAAGCACTGTACACAGAATGATGTATATGGGACTACACAAGCACCTGGCAAAAAAAACCTACCCCCCCCCCCCGATTTTTACGATGTTTCATGTCATATTGAGAATATGAAGGCATTTGAAGAGCCATGCTTTTCAGGGAACATGTTTAATCTGATGTTCTTCCACCCTTGCATAATAACAATGATAACGCTCACAAGTTATTTCTTACCTCTTCCCAAAACTCAACCTTCTCTTTAATGATCACAGCATATTGTATTGCATTCAATACTGCAGGATTGTAAAACAGTGTACTGATATTTTAACAAAATGGACTATTCACAAACATCCATTCAACATCCACACTTAAAAACAACCAAAGAAAAAGAAAAAGAAGAAAAAGAAGGCAGAATATTTGGTATCATGAGAAAGATGGGAAAATAAATTTTCTAGCATGTGATCTAAAATATAACTGATGCATCTGTTTATCAAACGTGTAAGATCAGCAGTGCATGAACGACAAGACATTATGACCTTTACCGCTTCACATGATTTACGACCAGAATGCCCCCGCACATGTACAAGACCAACTCATCATTTTATCACTGTGAGCTGAGGAGTAGGTCATAAAATGGAACTCGTGTTAGAATAGATTCAATTTTTCTCTGGATCTCAAGTTGGTGATCATTGATTTCATGATGGGAAACTGATTTGGGGCAGAAATAGTCTAAATATCATTATCAGTTGCTTAAATATCTTACAAAAACTTTGTTGTTCAGACCAGCAGGCCATGAAAAGAAAGAAAAAGAAGAAAATTTAAAGAACATAACAGGTGAATGCCCCCCCCCCCCCCAAAAAAAAACACAACAACAACAACAACAACAACAACAACATGTACATGTACAGTAGTTATTCAACTTGGTTGCTCAAGGTGTAATTGGTCAATTTTCTTTTCTTTTTTAATACCTCATATATTTTTCTGTTGTGATCTTGTTGCAATTATCATTTATTTATTTAGAATTACAACCAACAACTTCTACAGGTGTATGCAATTTCCCCTTAAAAGATACAGTGTACAATAAAAAGGTACAGTGTACATTATACACTCTATTATCGGATGCATAACAGTTTGAACCCAAACAAATGAGGCGTAGGAATGGAGGATCCATATTAGGAATCACTGGTCTAAATCACACAAAAGGGCCTACACAGGATCATTCACACAATAGGTAAAGATTTGAAATGTAATCAATCCTATTGTGTTTTTATATAAGCCCACTCATTGATGGGATGTACACTGAGCTACATGGGGTAAAACAGAATGCAAGGCAAATAATCAAGGCTACATGTACATGTACAACAAACTAAAATGTGCAATTTTAGTGCCGTTTTGCAATTTACATGTACATGTACATCTCACATACCACTAACAATAATTCTGATCGCTGTTCAAACTTCATTTTTTAAATCTCACAAATTGCTGAGTGAATAACCCTTTTTCAAATCCCAGACTAGACTATCAGCTGTGGTGAGCAGAGGGAAGAAAAGTATAACAAATCCTGATTAGTGCATCAAACACAAATAGCTTAAAATATACATGTATGCCAGCTATTTTGGATTTGATGGGTAATTATTAATTAACAATGTCCTTCGCAAAACAGAGCTGAAATTGTTCCCTTCATCCAAGTGGATAAACTACATTGTACATACATGTACTTGCAGACTACAACATAAAATATCAGAGTAACTTGTGATAGTATACAACTATACTCAGCTATGACTAGTTGATTTCTGTAAAAATGTCAGTTTTGAAAAATCAACTCAGGGGAAATTTCAAGGACCTGAGCATTGTATATCCCACAAAAATCAAATTCAGATGTTGTAATTTGGCACTGGCATTGTTGCACACTTCAATAGGTAATGGATTGCCTTAGGTTTATTTGTTGATAGTCTTTGCAAGTTTAAGTGTTTAGTTGCAGAATTGGCTAAAAATAAATATGACAATAATATTGACATAAATGCATGACATTGCAACTTTCAATCATTCAATGACATGCACAAGTGTTTTCATATTTCAAGTACATGTATATGTAGCTCACTCACATGACCTAATCACAACTGACTTTCACTTTTAGTCTCTTTCTTGTTTTTGCTTTTATGAAGGACTATAGAAACTATAACTATTACCACTTGGGGAGTCTTGTTTTCCTCTAGGCACACACAACTATAAAACAGTATGGGACTACAAAAAGTGAAAAGAATCATGGCCAATTAGCTTCACAATCCAGCTCATCTTATATTAACACAGTAACCAAAGCTAAATGGATAATAATACTCCCGTTATATTTAAAATGGCTATTGTGTGAGGAGGAGGAGGAGGAGGAGGAGGAGGAGGAGGAGGAGGAGGAGGAGGAGGTAGATGAAGGAGAAGAAGAAGAAGGAGGAAGAGGAGGAGGAGGAGAAGAAGAAGATAAACACACACTGAAATTGAAAGAGAATTATCACTGAAATTACAATAATTGCCAATGGGTCATTTGCTAAATTGCAGTAAATCATTTATAAAACAAAATGGTTTTACTAAAAAAATACCCTTTGTGAATAAAATGTCAATTTAGACTCTTTTGAAAACTTTTTTCATGAACTTTAGATCCATCTTGCTCCAAGCACACAACATTCTTCACCCATCATTTAAGCCTACTACTAGTACTATTCATAATACCACTTCTAGAAACTTCATTCTGGAAGGGGAGAATTCCAATTTATTTGCGGAGGAAAGCAGACGGACCGTCTGGAAATGATTGAAGCCATCTCAATAGCAAGATTAGATGCATAATAAATTGATTAATCCGCCACACTAATCAATATGGAGAGAAGGCAATCTTCGCATCCCTAAAAATAACCAAGGAGATATCCACCGTCTGAATGGAGTAATCTTAGTTGAAAGTACTTTTTAATTAATACATCATCCAAGTTCATGAAGAAAGAACTATATCGTATCTGTAATTCATTTTGCACAAACGACACATGTTAACCAAGCATGTTATTTTGTTGTGTGTTCACAAAACTTTGTCTGATATTATTATAATTGGAAGACTGGAGGCTTGTTCAGACATGGAGCGGTAAATCGTTGCAAAAAAGCATCCATGTTCTTTTAACGTGTAAATGAACAGCAACAAATGATGTGTGCGTACACTGTGCACAGAGCACTGTGTCATAAGATAAAGAAATGTTAAGCATATTACACTTCATTTTTTTTAAAAAGCAGAGATTTTGCAACGTCATATCTGAACGAACGAGCATTTACATGTATTGCACATGTAAAGGTGAATAACAGAATTTCAGACGTTCTTATTTTATGAAAATACAGGCCAGAGAATATAGTTTTTAGAGAAAATATTTAATCGTGAACTACATGTACATGTACTTACTGTACATGAATGGGAACAGATCATCATACTGTATGCAGTTTACAGAATACAGAATGATACCCTCATCTACTGAACACAAGTTGAAAAACATCTTTCTAGTTTACCTTTCCTCTCTCACTTTCTCTGGTTTTTATGTCTGTCTCTCAAGATTTATCATTCTCTAATCTTCCTTTTCACTGAAAAAGTACAGTAATTTTCCTAATGCCACCTGCCTCCCTATCCTCTCTAACCTTCCAAACATTGATAGTACTCAGTCGGACCCGTAGGAAAGTCCATTGACCATGGCTGGCTCATGTTTACTAGGAATCCCAACTGTTACAAACATTAGATTGCCTACTACATGCTAGAGGATCATCTATATCAATCAACCACCTGAATGTCAACAAGCTGTACAGTGAATCTCCCCCCCCCCCCATCGCCCCTTCCCTGCTCTCTACATGTATCTTGCTCGTGCATCCTTGCAAAATTGCCTAAATGCTACCTTCAGTATAAAGAGTTCTACTTCTTAATCTCTCCTCTATCTGCTGACCCACTAATCTGACATATTGTATGTGTGTAAACAAAAACTACCAGTCATCATGATACAAGCAAGAATACTATTACTACTATGTTTTATTGTAGCCCATCCAGGCCGTCCGCTCCTCTCATTCCACTTTGATGTTGTCAACCTATCTCGCAGGACGCCTACCAATTCAACACTTCCTTCCACATAAAAATGCTACGACCATCACAATCATCAGCATATAAAATTGCTAGAAGTGTATGGAGGGGGAGGGGGGACATTCTCCCCTCCCCTTACATGTATGCATGACCTCGAACATCCATCTGAATTGTACATATTGCTAATGGTTCCCCTCCCAACCCTCATCTTTTTCTTACCCCCCCCCCCCCTCCCCTTCTCTCTCTCTCTCTGTCTCATTGTCTTTCTCTACTCGGACCCCCCCCCCCCACTCCAAACCAATAAAATGTTCATCCCTCCCCCTCCCAATGAATAATCACATACACCCACCTGAATGGTAAATATGGAGGATTGGTGCCTGCCACCAGCGGCCTGTACGCCTCCTCAGGAATCCTCCTCAAGTAGATTACCTGTAATGAGCAACGTTAATCACTTTTATTTGTGGATAATTCAATACAAGTGTCTGGCATCACACACATTCATCAATCTAATTAGCAGGTGTGTGTGTGTGTGTGTGTGTGCAAGGGTATTGGGGCCATTTGGGGGCTTGGTATTTGGCAGTCGCTTATTTACAATCTGGGAGCTGAGAATAGTTTAACTTAAGCACCGTAGCAATTTGAGCTTGTAAGGTACAAGCCCATATTACAGCTCATGCATAATATTTGCACAACAATTACAGTTTTTTAATCAGTGTTCAATTTTCATGTTTCCTTGTAAAGTGCTATTAAAGTATATCTTCATTCTACACAGGTGCTACATGACCTTCAAGAGTGGGAGCATAAACACAAAGAGCTGTTCTTTATTAGATTAAAGTCGTCCATGTGTGTTGTGTGACAGTATTTTTAATGTCATTTGACAGATCTCATAATGCATTTCTAAGGCCTCACCATGTATTCACAGACAAGGTGTGAATAAGCTAATTGTATACTACTGAAGAGTGTAAGCAAGGGCAACACCATCACCAGGGGATATTACATTATCATAAATTGTGGCATTGAACATTTGTCAATGCCTTGATGAATATATGAACTGCTTAATGCATTAAGTGATGTGCTAAATCTTGAAAATTAAATGAATCTATTTGGGATTCTGAAATTTGTATTGACTTTTCACTCACACATGTACATGTACATGTACATGTAGTGACATATCCTTTACGTAAATATTTCATACAAAAATAAAGTAAGAGAGAGGGGAAAAGTGAAGGTGGGGAGAGGGAGGGGAGGGAGAGGGAGGGAGAGGGAGAGGGAGGGAGAGGGAGAGGGAGAGAGAGGGAGAGGGAGAGGGAGAGGGAGAGGGAGAGGGAGAGGGAGGGGAGGGAGAGGGAGAGGGAGAGAGAGGGAGAGGGAGAGGGAGGGAGAGGGAGGGAGAGGGAGAGGGAGAGGGAGAGGGAGAGGGAGAGGGAGAGGGGGAGGGAGAGGGAGAGGGAGAGGGGGAGGGAGAGGGAGGGGAGGGAGAGGGAGGGAGAGGGAGAGGGAGAGGGAGGGAGAGGGAGAGGGAGGGAGAGGGAGAGGGAGAGAGAGGGAGAGGGAGAGGGAGAGGGAGAGGGAGAGGGAGAGGGAGAGGGAGGGGAGGGAGAGGGAGGGGAGGGAGAGGGAGGGGAGGGAGAGGGAGGGGAGGAAGAGGGAGGGAGAGGGAGGGAGAGGGAGAGGGAGGGAGAGGGAGAGGGAGAGAGAGGGAGAGGGAGAGGGAGAGGGAGAGGGAGAGGGAGGGGAGGGAGAGGGAGAGGGAGAGAGAGGGAGAGGGAGAGGGAGGGAGAGGGAGGGAGAGGGAGAGGGAGAGGGAGAGGGAGAGGGAGAGGGAGAGGGAGAGGGGGAGGGAGAGGGAGAGGGAGGGGAGGGAGAGGGAGGGGAGAGGGGGAGGGAGAGGGAGGGGAGGGAGAGGGAGGGAGAGGGAGAGGGAGAGGGAGGGAGAGGGAGAGGGAGGGAGAGGGAGAGGGAGAGAGAGGGAGAGGGAGAGGGAGAGGGAGAGGGAGAGGGAGAGGGAGAGGGAGGGGAGGGAGAGGGAGGGGAGGGAGAGGGAGGGGAGGGAGAGGGAGGGGAGGAAGAGGGAGGGAGAGGGAGGGAGAGGGAGAGGGAGGGAGAGGGAGAGGGAGAGAGAGGGAGAGGGAGAGGGAGAGGGAGAGGGAGAGGGAGGGGAGGGAGAGGGAGAGGGAGAGAGAGGGAGAGGGAGAGGGAGGGAGAGGGAGGGAGAGGGAGAGGGAGAGGGAGAGGGAGAGGGAGAGGGAGAGGGAGAGGGGGAGGGAGAGGGAGAGGGAGGGGAGGGAGAGGGAGGGGAGGGATAGGGAGGGAGAGGGAGAGGGAGAGGGAGGGAGAGGGAGAGGGAGGGAGAGGGAGAGGGAGAGAGAGGGAGAGGGAGAGGGAGAGGGAGAGGGAGAGGGAGAGGGAGAGGGAGAGGGAGAGGGAGGGGAGGGAGAGGGAGGGGAGGGAGAGGGAGGGGAGGGAGAGGGAGGGGAGGAAGAGGGAGGGGAGGGAGAGGGAGGGAGGGAGAGGGAGAGAGGGAGAGAGGGAGAGAGAGAAAGAGGGTGAGCGGGAGAGAGGGTGATCGAGGGAGAGAGGGGAAGAAAGGGAGGGGAATTAAGAAGGAAACATAACGTTTGACTGCTTCTTTTTAAAAGAACATTACGGCAGCCAGAAATAACTCTTTAATACAACATGCCATCAATGTCCTTCTTGCCCTCTGGAAAACATTTAAAAGGATTTACTTACAGCATAGCATCCTATTAAACAGGCTGCATTGGTTCTCTTTTTACTGTCGAATGAAGTGTAGTGAACAATCTTCTTGCGGCTGAGTGATGTTGACTGAAATTAGAAGAAAAAAAAAAACACATAAAAATATTGATTAATGCGCTTTCGGAAATAATCAAGAGTTGCATTGATTTGCATGAAATTTCTATTAGCAAAAATTGATTACAAGGCAACATTCATGTAAATGTCAATATTTACGTGTAGTACATGTATATGTATTTGGGCATGCAGTACAGTTAATGAACAATTAAAATAAAATCAATTAAAAATTTTAAATGAACAAATAGAATAAAATCAATATAAATGTACGCCAAGACAAAATCAAATACTGTATATGTTAGTACAAAGACTTCATATTCAGATGGTGTACAGTGTACTTTAAAACATAACTTTGTACAAGAATCAAGAAGTAATTAACAAAACAAAAAGCCAACTGACTTCAATAAGGTACATGTACATGTAATTCCGTCCAAGAGTTCAATAGCTCCTAAAATCTTAAAAAATGAGAATATGAAAACTAGACTGAATAGACTTTAAATTTAAGAAAAATAAGAATGGATAGTTGACATGGTCATGTACATGTGTGTGTGTGTGTGGAAGGGTGGAACTCTGCTTTTTCAAAAACAATCTCACTGTAGCTTGCCATTAAATGAAAAAAAAAACAAGTGAAACTGAGCATATATCGCAAACTGGCATGCATTGCCTGTACTGTAAGCCTATATGGTAACTGTACCAATTTAATTATAACCAAGCAATATCAAAGCTCGCCATCAGAGCATCAATTCCCTAGATCTGACCTGTTGGTTCGTGGGGTAAAAGAAAGTTGCATGGTAACAACGACGGTTACTACAGCCCTGCAGCTACAGCATGTTATGCTATGAACAACCGATGACCATGTCCAGGCAGACCTTTTCAATTTCCTCTATATTAAATCAAACTAACTCATGATGGAGAACTGAAGCAGAAACAGCCCACATGCAGGAGCTGATCATTTAACAAAATTCATCGACTGCAAGCATACTCAAATAACTAAACTATAAATAGTGTCTCAATTTTACAACTTTATCTTTTAATGGATATTATCTACAGTACTGTATGTACAGGTACATGTAGGGTATACTAAGAAATTTAATTGAAAATTCAGGTGAAATTGTGAATGTAGAAATTGTTTTGTAGTACTAGTACTTCTTTCAAAAGTCTTATACAATTTCATGAAAACAAATTACATGCGCAAAAGTACATTTACACTTCTTTAGTACACTTCTTTGTTTTACCTTTTAAAAAAACATTGGTTAATTCAGGTTTGGGGGAATCAATTCAAATCTCTTTATACATGTAGAACTGTACATGTTCATGTTCATGTACAGTATACTACACATGCAGAAATAAACCTTTCCTTTCAGTTTCGGGATACATTGCAAGTATTTGCAACTAAAAATATCTTCTTCCACATACCAGTATTATACAATGTACAGGTATGAACTTCATTATCACTGTTAAAGGTACTATGTCCCTTTTGCAGCCAACCTCAAAAACCTGTAAAACTTTGCAGGAATTATGAATATGTCATATACTGTATGTCCTATCTGTGAAATTTAAACGTTAGCAGTGTCCTCAAATTCAAATTATGCAAGGAAACCCGTTTACTTGCTAGACTTCACTGTCAGACACTATTGAGTGACTGACTGGCTTTTTTTCTTCTTTGGTAATAACATACATGAAAAGAGTTGTAAAGGGTACATGAGCATTTGTCTACATCAATAACCCATTTCTTGTGATGGCCAAAATTAAACTGATTGAATCTTTGCGCAGCATAAAACGTATGACCATTCGGTACAATTGTCTGAAAATCAAGACTATTACTTTTTGGGCTCTATAGCCCTAAATTCGATTTGACAACTAATAGTAGTTATTTTCCCATTTGAAGACATTTTCAAGTCCCACCTTTTTTAGGGAAGTTCTAAATCAATTATCTTTCAAATGCAGTTGGAATTTAACTTTTTCATTTTTTTGGCCTGCAAAAGGGACATAGTACCTTTAAGGCTATGCACAACAGTGTAATGAGGTACCCGAGTACACTCCCAGGCTCAAAAGCGAATACTCCAATATTCGGACGCCATGTTTTTTTATAATTTTTTTGAATTTTTTTGAATTTTTTTGATTTTTTTTTTAATTCTTTGATTTTTTGCCACTACCATACCACTCGGCAGTTTCCCAGGTCCCTCGCCGAAAACGCATGCAATTTTATTTTGAGCTGCAGTTGAAGGCGCCGATTTAATAAGAATAATAACAGTAAACAATGCTGTTTTGAAAACCAAAGATGGCAGAATAATCCATTTTCCTCCAAGTCCAAACAGAAATCTGGACATTTGGTCCCAGTTTCTGAAAGGTGAGTTTGACAGTGCTTGAATTGGGAAACAATTTTACCGATGGTACCATGCCAGCGGACGCCGCTCTCCCTGGCACAGGTAAGCGTTGGCCTGGTCATTTTTTTTTTTTTTAACTTTTTTTTTTTGCGGCCGAATATTCGGATACGAGAAATCGTACCCGAGTAGTTGTCAACCGTGCGGGTACTCGAGCATTCGACTACCCGTTGCAGCCTTAATCACTGTACAAGTGTACACACTGTACATGTATTTCAGCATGTACATTTAAGTACATTGTAGACTCTGGACTGGGACAATGCTTTGCCAAGTGTAACCTTTGACTGTGTACATGTACATGTACCTGTACATGTAATGTTCATGTATTTGCATCTTTCAAAAAGGATGTAAAATAACATTTTATCAAATAAGAGCAAGATAATCAATCAAGGAGGTAAGGGTCGGCCAGTAAGCTTAATATTTTATCAGCTACAAAGTACATGAATAAATGTTCAAGATATTGGACGTGGTTCAATTACTTGTAATTTGTAAGGCATCCCTAGATTGACCATGCATTCTCTAATTACACAGATTTATAGGCTTTCTGAATGGCTAATCATCAATTCACTGGGACTTCATAGTCATTTGCAAGCAATAGTATGCTTGCATTCACAAAATATATACTGTCTAAAGAGGGTAATCCCCTAACATCATTATTCTCAGTGGGAACATTCCAGTCCCTAGATACATGCACATCAAGCTTTCCCTGTTTTCACAGATCTATAATTCTGAATAGCTAATCATCATTCCACTGGGACTTGCAGACACTAATGGTATTGGATGAATGACAAGAGTAAAATCATCTGAAAGGCTTGATCATACCAGGCATCCTTTTTGATGATTGCCATGTATTTATTTTCCTAATTTGTACATGTAATCAATTGTACAAATTGTACATACATGTACAGTACTTAAAGGGCAAGTCCACTCCAAAAATAACTTACTTTCAATAAAAGCAGAAAAATCAGACAAACCAATCAAAAAAAGTTTGAGCAAAATCGGATAACCAATAAGAAAGTAATGAATTTTTGAAAAAGTATGTAAAACCATGGAACAATGAGAATCACAACACAAATTGTCAAGATGGTTATCAGTTTGTGACGTCATGTCCTCACAACTTAGTTTAATACCATTAATTTCCCTTTTTATCTCCCAAAACTTGATTTCCCCATGCCTTTGCCCAGGTTATATGATTTGTATCATATTGCGTGCATGACATTTCTCAAAAACTTTTATGAATTTTGAAGAATTGATGCTATTTTCTGAATATTGTATTTGATAATTATTGATTTTTATATAAATAGTTTATCAAAATTCGATTTTTCATGATATAACTGGACAAAATTATTTGTGCATCCACACAAAAACATATTACTTTTCATTAAACTTGGATGCTGGGTTGAAGAAATAAGATTCTTAGGGGGAAAATAGGAAATTTATATTATCAATATAAAGAAAATAATTAGTAGATAGTGAAGACCATACGTCACAGACTCATGAGTGAGTTGCCAATTTGTGTAGTGATTTTCAAAGTTTTTCATGTCATTACAAATTCATAACTTCCTTATTAGTTATCCGATTTTGCTCAAACTTTTTTTGATTGGTTTGTCTGATTTTTCTGGTTCTATTGAAAGTAAGTTATTTTTGGAGTGGACTTGGGCTTTAAGGAACAAATAATGCCTTTGAAGCTCCAGCACCACCTTTGGTGGCAGAGGCATCAAAACTTGTGCACAACTTCACAAGAACTATTCCAATACATAAAACTTATCTACACTGAACTGTATGCATGACATTTATCATCAGGGTAGAACATACAAATCACCAATTCTACATCAAAATCTCTGCAGCAACCACACATTAAAAAAACGCACAGGGCATGGAAATAATGACAGGTTTGAACTGAAGTTCAAGAGTTCGGCATCTCATGCGCAATTGCACATCATGACTTTTCCACTTTTTTTTTTTGTAGTACACCCCTGTATGTTCGTGTCTGCCAGCATGATTGATGTGCATGTTATCTTTAATATAAATTGTCAGAGAAAGAAATGTACACCATGATGAACAACCAAAGCATGTGTAGTACACTTCATATTCACAGCTTCCCCGTCAAATTTTCATCGAGCTATTAAATAGTCAAGGTGAAAAAGAATGAATTCCTATTTCCTTTTAATTCCCGTTATTTGTCAATGAATGAAAACTTTAAAAAAAAAACTTCACTGTTTCCCAGGCCCAAAATGGCAAGAAGAGGAAGAGCTGAATAAGAACATCCAACAAAAGATGCCATCACTACACATACTGTACGTACATGTTGTAACATAATCATGGACAGATCAAATCATGACGAATTGAAACTGAGAAGTTGACCAATATTGAAGCAATATACTGAACATTAGTGGACAATTATCTCCTTGAGCTGCAAGATAATTTATCATACAGTGAAAGGCATGCCATAACAGCAAAGAGGAGTATTCAACCAGCCTTCTGTGATCAATTTTGATAATCTTTCAGACTTCAGAATTGTGATGCAAATCTCACCTTTAATTTCTTGTTGAGCTTACAGCAGTATCTGTACAGGAGAGCTAGGTTTAATGGTCCAAAGTCTGCGTAGAAGCTGCAAATAAACAGGAATCAAAATATCATGTTTATCACCATGTTCTGAACACTTAAATAATCAATTATGGTTGATTGGTTATCAAAGACAAATCTGGCTTATCATCATTCAGTTACATGTATGTTGAATATTCAATCATATCTTACATGTAATCTTTCATCATAATTGCGCCACAAAAGGGGAAAAAGGAGATGATGACAACGACTTGCAAATCCAAGCATTTGCATACATGTATAAGAAAGGAATGAAATAAAATAATGTGATTAAAAAGAGAATCTTGATTATCAATACTGACAAGAGATTTCATAATTGTGGAATGTGTGAAACATTAAAACTGTCTTGTTTGTGAATTTTTCTTCAATGTTCCAATGTTGCTGACATTTTCATCAAATTTCAACTGTTTCAAATATTATCATAACAAAGAGAAAAATGATAAAACCATGCATGCAACTTCCTGTTGTGTATAAAGTGAATGTATGCCATACTTGATTTATAGAAAATTAGTGGTGGACTGGAGGACTCAAACTTTTACACATCAGTGCATTAAGTGTCAGGATTTAATCTACTGTAACTAGGTCGATGTTTTTGCTGTGTTAGTTCATATACAATGCAAGGTGCACTGTGCATAGAACAGCTTAGTAAATAGTCAGCAGGAAAGCAAGCAAATACAGAAACCTATGTTTGTTTTAACAGTGCATTCAGTGACCTAATAACAAGGTTCTTTACAAACAAGTCAAATAGAAGTTTTGGGTTGCAAATGTAAATGTATGTGTGTCATTGAGTACATGTATGTCTTTTAACTTTTACAAATTTATCTTGATAAAGGAGATCTCTGTGTATATGTACATGTACATGTACTACATGTATACCGGTTTATGTATCTGAGAAGTGAAGGAACATCGAACACGAAACATTGAATTATTCAATGTGAACTAATCAGAGAGCAAAAGGAATTTAACAAAAAAGAAGACATTTAAATAATATACATGTCATGTCCGATACTGGGTGATTAAAGTTGTCACTAGATGACGAACACAGCAAAAGAATGTGAAGTAAAACAGCTTGCAGATACACATGTAAATGTGGGACCAAGAAATATTGTAAATGTGATAAAGTACTGTAAATTCAGAAGAAATTTTAAAAAAAGCTAGAAAGGGAGAACTAGACTGCAAATTCCAAAAGACAACGAGTCTGGTAAAAGAATAGAATGAGATTAATTGAGAGAGTGAAGGAAGGAATAGAAAAACGAAGGAGGAAAAGGAGAAGATGAAAAGAAGGAGAAAGATGAAAAAAGGGAGAAAGATGAAAAAAGGGAGAAAGAAGAAGAAAAAAAAGGGAGAAAGAAGAAAGAGGAGGACGAGGAGCAAATAAATAAAAACAAGTTAGGAGAGGAAGAAATACAGAAATAGAGAAAGAGGAAAATTTGAGTAAAGAGAGAACATGAGAGAAGAGAAAGGAGAGAAGAGAAAAGAAAGAGGGGAGATATACAGAGAGAGGGATAGAGGAGTAGGCGAGGGAGACTGAACGAGAGGAAGAAATGGGGGCTGCGTTGAAAGAAAGGGAGAAAGACCTTGCATTTACCCTAGAGAGGTGGCCGTAAATGAGCCACTTCCTGGCTAGAGTACACTGGGGTTGGGGTATCCTGTTCAAATTTATGAGGGCTGAAGATCTGGCACTTTTTTTTTTTCTTCTACATCTCCATCCCTTTTTCACAATGTGTACACAATACATAACTGTGTTGCAAGCGCATTGACTGGATTGCACTCAGGGATTTTTAATCACTGAATTAACTTTAGCAGGTGGAAGTGTTCATAATTTGTATACACACATATTGTACATGAAGGAAGTTAGGAACAATTTTTGTTTTCCACTAAATGAAGAAAGAGGGAGATTTGTTTTTACAAACATTAATATTTCTCTTTTCTAATGATGTACATGTAGGCCTACCTTAATTATAACTTTGGATAGATAGGCCTACATGTACATGGATTGGCCTAAAATATCTTCTGATTTTCTCTTCACTTACTGCATTTGACACTTGTTTGTGACTTTGTGTAAAACTACGGTCACAAAGGTTTGTACAAACGATGTGTTCGTACGAATCTCTGTTTTTCCATTGTCTTTCCGAATTTCCATTGTCTGAAAATTGTTTGTACGGCGTTCTTAATGGCATTTGTGACCGAGGCTTTAATAGTTTGAAGCATGCATTTCTCTATTTTTTATACAATTTTACATTGTAAATCCCCCATGAAACTACATTTGACATGAAACAATCGTTCAGCTTACTTTTCATATTGAAATTCATCATCAATACAGAAATAGTGTGTGTTTGTTGTGCTTCTTGGTTTGTTCCTTAGTGTTGCAAAGTAAAGGCGATCTGAAAAGAAAAATTGAGAACATGTAGTTAAAAATCATTCTTATCAATACAAGCTAACAGTAACACAGGTACATGTACATGTACATCATGACATGTAGTATTATACTGTAAATGTACATTCCTGTTCATGTACATGTAGTTTAACATAACCTACTGTACTACGGTAGATCTAGAGTCTACGGTAACTAAAGCTTTTCGACATGCACTCATCAGACTCAGAGTAAAACGCAAGAATGAAACAAAGCCAAAATCGATCAATATAAACGGAAACTAAAAGGAAACTAAAATTTATGTAGAATCTACTTCACAATGATGGTGCTCAGAAACGTTGGTAGACTACTGTAGATCTAAATGCTGTTATTTTTGCATGATTAATTTTTACGCGCTGAGCAACACAGAAAAATATTCGCTGGTTCTTAAATTCGTGTTGCACACAATCCAGCCCGTTCAAAGCACGCATATATTTTTTCGAGCGTTCTAAAATTAGCGCTTGCCGATCTTAGTGCAAAATTCGCGAAAATTTCTAGATCTAGATCTATTTTTAGTTTTAGTTAGACTAGACCTAGGCCTACAGTAAATTGTCTCTGGATGATAAAATGTTAAATTCTCTTTTGAAAAAGTTTTATTCAAAATCTATGAACATCTCACATCTGTTTTACAGTCTACTCAATTATTTCTCAATTATAATTCTTCAGCATTCATTCTTAATTAGATTCAAACCATGTACATGATGCATGCAAATTGCAAAACAAACAACACACTCTTGAATTTAAAGGGCCAACGGCAGGATCAGCAATGAGCAAGTCAACTGTTGCACACTTCTCATTCAAATCTCACCTTGAATAATTTCTGATGCACTCATTAATTCGTTATCATCTGCCATCATGATTCCAGTTTCCAATTTCTGTGTTATTCCTTTTTCTTTTATTTACACGCCACCAGATGGGAAATCGTTAGGTGTTTCTGCTTGAATTTCAGTCTTGATGTTGATGTTGGTTGCTCCAAATTTTTAGTCGGTTGCACGCAAAGTTCACACACTCAGTTTACACACACAGAACACAGTGCAAGCAATCGGCCCCGTTCGTCCAGTCACAACACCAATTCATTCATATGATGCGGATATGACTGCGGTAGATCTTGGCTCGTTTCCCGTGCAATTCTGGCGACGAACAAGGTTCAAAAGGGTCCCGATTTGAGATAGCAAGGTCTTTATTGCTCTTGTGACACCTGAAATTTTCGGTAGCTAAGATGTTAAGCCACCTAGATCCTTGGCAATGAGTTCCGAAGTGGTCCACAAGTTATGTTTCCTTCATTTTAGTTGCGATTATGTGTTTTGATACGTACTGCTACCTGTTCCACTGATCAGCCATGTTTGAAGATTGAGGGTAATATGTGACGTCACACTCACATGTAGGCGATTTAGCCAATGGGAAACTTGGATACCAAACTTGTGTAGTGATATGCTAATTAGAGAGCTCGACAACATAACAAACCACACTGAATTGAATGGCATTATGACATATATACTGCAGTAATATAACACTTAACATCATTGCATGCTTAATTTCACCATAATTATTCGATTGTTGAGAAAAATATTAATTTACAACCCTTCGGTATATACTAGGCTGCAAATACTTATTAAAATTACGCAGAGATTAACAAAATAATTTTGGTCGGCATAAACCACGTAAACTATTAAAAGCAATGCCGAAAATCAGAAACGCCCGAAACGAATTTCTTAATCGTGATCTATAGATCACGATTAAGAAATTCGGGTGAAGCCGAGATATAAACTCAGATTTAAAAATTGGACGGTACATAATGAAGTCTGCATTTCACTTTATAACAGGGGGCTTCTTTAGATTAGGTTTTGTAAATAGTAAAATCAAATACTAGTAGACAGATATATAATCAATAATTTATTACACTATGGATCACACCTCCATGAATAGACTTGAAAGTTCCCGTAATACTTTTGTAAAACATTTCTGCATGACAGAAATAGGATCTGAAGTTGATCAAGCATAGTAATCTCCATGTAAATAATTATTGTGTATATCAGGAACAGTGGCTGGCATAAGACCCAATGGCTATTACAGTCGCACTGTAGAGGAAAATGAAAAAGTTTGGAGAGTATATTCTCAAAAAAAGTTGACTGATACACTAAGTGAAAATTAAAGAAAAAGAAGAATGATAATAATAACAACAACAGCAGCAATATTAATAATATCAACAATAATCATCTTTAACAATTCGGTAAGATGGACAACAGAACAGTGAAGGATAACATGAAAATCTTAAAGTTTAAACAAACCTAACGTCAGTAATTTAGAAAAACTAGAAAATGTTTACAGGGATATAAGAAGATGAATTAACAAAAAGTTTATCGTTTTTAAGAAAACAAAAATAGATAGTTCTTAATCATTGATTGTTCCACTGCCACTGGCTGACATGATCATGCTTAATGGGGACCCCACTGGAAATAGGCTCGAGTTTTCATGGGTTATCCTGTTCAAGCTGACTTAATTTTGATCTGTTATTATTGTGTACGTTGGACGCTTGGCGAATATCAATCAATCAATCAATAAAATGTTTATAATAAGCGAGAGATGGCGTGAGTTCAATGCACCGAACTTTATACAAGGCTAAGTAATGTATATAGTTGAGTTCAACGCAGCACTTTGACTGACTATTATGTATTAAACAAAATATGCCGTTAAACCACTTTCAAGGCAAAGAGATTTGATCCTCCGTATTTATAGGGCATCTCTCTTACGAACTTCTGCCTGCCTATTATGACCTACTCGATATAAGGTGGCTCTTTTTTTAATTAAATTTTTTAGACGAGCGAAATGTAGACACTATACTACCAAATATAACAACTTTTTAAAAAAAATCCCGAAAAACAAAATTTGTTTTATTCTGCTTCTTATTTTGGTGTGCTTTTTTGAAGACTGCCACGCCTTTCAGTTTTGCTCATAGGGGACGTTCACCTTAATCTAAAGTTGTTTTCAATAGAAGCAGAAAACGATTAGAGAAGCAAAACAGTCAACAGTGACAGTTTAAGCGAAACATTAGGGAGTTTTGGATTATCGAAGTTTTAATCAATCAAACATAAAATGGAAACCCAGTGTTGTATCTTGCGCGGTTAACGTCCTTTTGAATTGTGTTGTCCTTGCTCTGGAATTAAAATCTCTTAAACTTCAATTTACTCTCGAGAAAATATTTATCAACATGCCCCCTGGATATAAAATAACTGCACATACGTTTCTTCACAACTCCTGTGTTAAAAAATAAAATTATTGCTTCATCAGTAACTCTGATGAAGTAAATCTGTTAGACATTCTGGCCCGGACATCTGGAATGATTTACCCGACAACATAAAGTCTTGTTCAACCATCTACTCCTTAAAAGCTACACTTAAACGACAAATAATACAATCATATGCTCCCCCTCTCTAAATTAGTATAACAAAACCGTGTCTTATTTATTCTTTATCATGCAACTGCTCACTGCACCTGCACTTGCACCGCACGCTCTTGATCACTCAGTTTTTCGAAGAGAGTTATGTCGCCAATTCTTTTTACGAGGCCGCCATCCATCTCCAGCCTAACCGCTCACGATGGTGGTATCCTGCGTTCCGAATTACCTCTCTAATTTATTGAAAATATTTCATATTTCTTATGTTATTGTATGCTTCGTACATGTTTATCGAATGATATAATTGTACATGATTTTTCATTTAATTACTTTTGTAAACATTGTATTCATTGTATTTGTTATTGTTCGAAATTTTGTACTTTGACTTTGAATTTGTATATTTTTGAACGCAGAAATAAAATCAATCAAACAAACAAACAAACTCAGAAAATTGATATTTATGAAATTTTCTGTACATGACAAAGCAAATGGGAAAGAGATGACTTCAAAATACATGACGGTATTGCCCATTTTTGTTTGATTGAATATAACTCCATAAAACTTCATAAATTTCTTATTTTGGACCGATCTGTTCGCTCTCACTTTCTGCTTTTATGTTTAAAAACACTAAATGTGGTAAACTTACCCCTTAAGAAACATTTTTTTTTTGTGATCAACTTAATTACGTAAACGCGACGATAAGGTTTTGGAATCACCAAAGGGTAATGTAAATAAAATGACATCATCATTGGATCTAGAATCTAGAAAGAATCCAAATAACTAATGAAAATTCACGAAGACATGAAATATCCTTTGAGGGATATATCTAAGATTTCAGAAGCTCTAGCATATCAATTATTTGTAAAAGTCAAGGTTTTGTGATTCATTTAGTTGTTTACTTGATTGACTAATAATTGTAGGACTTCTGCACTTGATACAAATAGATTTTAATACTGACGTGTAAAAATATGCGTCATTAAACAAGAGCTGGCGCTATACCAAATATTAGGTTGACAGAAAACCGAAAAATTGTACGCATTCGATTCACTGTAATGTTTAAAACAAGAGATGGCGCTATACCACTTGGAGGACACATCATGCATGATCAAACGTTGACTTGTTAGCTGCGAAATCATATGCCAGTTTGTAATTATCTACTAAATGATACAGAACAAGAAAATCAAATAAGAATGGAGATACTATGCAAGAAAACAAATAAAAAAAAAAACAACTGCAGCAACGTTAAGCAGAAATATACATTTTCAATGTATTCAAACTTTAAAGGTAATTATAATACAAAGTTTTGGTACAGTCAAACCTGTCTATAGCGACCACCCAAGGGAAGCACAAAAAGTGGCCTTTGCAGACAGGTGGTCTTTGTAGACAGGTTCCTTTAGTACATGATTCAATGAGAAACCATTTTTAAGGGAAACAACAATTGTGGCCTTTGTAGACAAGTGGTCTTTGTAGACAGGTGGTCACTAAAACAGGTTTGACTGTAAATGAATTTGGTTAGATGAACATATTGGAAGCATAAGCGATTTTTTTACAATATTCAGTGATCGTTTTCGCGGTTAAAAGTCTAACGTGATGAAATTGTAAATAATAAACTAACATGTTGTCCCTAGAATAAAGTTCTGAACAAAGTCCTGAAAGCCTGTACACAACTTTTTTCAAGCTACACATTCATTATACAAGTGCATGCTCCCTTTCGGGTGCTCCTCATTTTCACAGTTTAATTGACTTCACTTAATGCTCATGCATTTTTAAAATGAAATGTCTATTTTGGGGGATGCAGTTTACATTCATTTCATTTAGGAAGTGGCATGCTGAATTGCGACTACCAACTTTGAAGTTCGGTCGATCATATTTTGGGTTATGCGCGTTGCCAGTCTAAAAATTTAACTCTTAAAAAAAGTGTGTTTGTAAGGTATTTATTTCTGATTTTGCTTTTTATTTATTAAAAATAAGTACAATTAACTTTTTTAATAATAATAGATATATTTTCATTGAATATAATAAAAAGTTAAATTAAATAAATGCCTCTTAGAATTTATTTTTATTTCACAAACATTTAATTATTACTAAAACTAAAATTGGCAACATCTAAAGTCAACCTGAAAATAATCGACAAAGCTCAACATGTATAGCGTAGTCTAATTTCAGCTACAATATTTATTTTATGTTAGCAGCATGGCAGACGATCTTGGCGACGAATATTGGTTGGATGGTGACACAACTGGAGGACAGGGCGATATAGAACCAGATGGTACGTTTGCACGTCATAATAACGTATTCACAGTGTTCATATCAATGCATATTTATCTAATTTCTGTGATTGTAAGCACATTTACTCTCAGACATTGGGCTGCGTGAATTTAGTGCAGTCCCACATCGTTTAGAAATATGTTGGTTGAACATAAAAATTGGGTGTAAAAATGTAAGCGACCAATGCAATGATATATGATATTCGGTATTAGGTTTAACTATGTTATCATTTGTAACAATAATCGGGTCTTAATCTTTTGGTGTTATCATGAAATAGGAAACTACTATTTGCTCTGCACAGTAGCGTTCATTGCGTCACACGCAATTGGTCATGGTAGACTCTAGGACTAGATTCTAGGCAAATTCATGCAAAAAAATATAGAACTAAGTTAGACCCCTATTCAAAAAATTGACTTGAAAACACATCAGACAATTAGTCTGAACCATGTCAGGAGCAGATTTGAAGAAATTATATTTTTAAATGTTGTAAAACCAAAGATATAAGAAGAAAACTGACCAAGTAGACTATCTGTTCTAAAAATCGTACATGTAAAATTGGTCGTACACATTCGACAGCTCTAAATGACGCGCACGGTTGCGTTACGTGCGTTCTCGAATCCAAAATCATACCTCACACACACACTCTCACCATACCGCGAATGGTCCGTTGTGGGGAGCTAGCCGGCTGAGAGTTTGCAGCGATACCAACGCAGCTTCGGAGCTCCGCAGCGCGCCATTTTAGCGGGACTCGGAAAGGTTCGCGGTGGGAAGGCAGCGGCCTAGCTTTTTGCCCAAACAACGCTAGATCGGCTGCTGGCAAAATGAAAATAACTATGATCGAGAACATCGTCGGTTTCTTAACTTTTCAGTGAGATAATTCTGAATTCTAATTGAGACTATATAATAAATTAAATCGACAAAGAAACCTCGGTAGAACTCTTATAACTATACAAAAGCTTGTTTATTTCTTCATTTGACATTTTGTTTTTGACCATTTTTTCGTGCGCGAGTCAATGCAAACTATGTATTACCAAACTTTCAACACGCAAGGAACGGGGAACACTCGCGGACCTCGTATCAAATTCGTTGCAAAAAAAAAAATCAAGGGTGATTTTGAAGCAGTGAAGAATATTGGCGCTGCAATGCGCAGAAATATAATTGAAAGAAACTTAAAAAATCATACCTGAATTTTCAGAAAATCGTATTTGTATTAGTGTACCTAGATGTGAATTGTTTATAACTCAGATTTTATGAAGATTTGTCGGGAAAAAATGTCAATTTTTTCCGTTTGGTGGTCATTTCTAGGCTAATATTTTAAAAGTTACTTCAGTAATGGTCCCGATGTTTCTCTTATCGTACTCGCATGTTATTTCTACATAGATTAAACATAGGATGGTTAAGGGTAAGACCGGATAACATTATAAAAAAGATATATCCTTCCAACCTCCCATATCCAAGTTTTGGGCTGATTATTGCCGACCCACCGCAGCAAGGCCATTCAGATTTTCGTACGCGACCGAAGCGCCCTCTAGTGCCCCATGAATGTGCCTAGTCATGGTCTTTAGTCTTTCCCCCCCCCCCCCCATTCCAGTCTCCTCACTCGACACACAACTCTGTCACAACGGTGTGCATGCTGACGAACAAGTGGTTCCCAAAACCACGATATGATCAATCTTTTTATAGATTCAGCAAAATTCAATTGTTAAAAAGATATGATTCTGTCTAAATAATTTAGACTAGAAGGAGAAGAATTCCTACAACTTACAAAGTATCCATATTCTTCACCGGGATGGCATGGCAGGTGGCAAATGTTTTTTAAAGTAATAACTAAAGCACAAATATTCTGATTTCGTACTATATGATTAATTTCTCAATCACAGTCCCTCCTGGAGTCAAACATGGACAGAAAAAAGCCTCAACTTTGAGGAAGGAAAACAAGCAACTAAAGAAGAAGAGGAAGCAACCCCCTACCTCGGAAGAACAAGAGAACAAAGAACAAGCAAAGAAAGCAAAGAAGAAGAAAAAGAAGGTGCGTTCATGAAAAAAGACGTAGCAGTAACACTCAGATAGTTGGCTTAGGACAAACATTCAAATATTTTGATTCAAGTAGGTACCAATGATTGGAACAAGATACTCACTCAGAGTCACTCTTGAGTAATATTTATCCGAATGAAGTGGATACTGGATAGTAATTAAAACATATATTTAATATTCAAATATTATGCAAGAAATACATTTTCACAGAAAATAAACAGGATGAAATGACTATAAAGTGATAATTCTCAGAAAAAACTGTAGAGGTTCAAGAAAATTGAATAAATGCCATATAGAATTTTTAAACACATATTTTAAGCACTTGCCAGAATTTTTGCAAAGTTCATTTGTGAGAAAAATTGAATGTTGTTGATTTTTGTCAGTTTAATTGTTAATTTTCCCATGACTTGGAACTATTTAAATAGTTTACTTATATCTTAATTCCAACAGAAAAATTTGACCACTCATTTAGCATCAGTAGGTGACCAGCCAGGAACCAAAGATGACCTGCAAGTATCCATGGCAACATACTACCATGATGACTTATCAACCGTTGAGATGGAAGAACTTATACTTGATGGTATGTATATCTGGAAGAATGAAAGGAAACTCTGCTTCTTTAAATTCTCAAGATAAATCAATACAAAGAAGACATATATTATAAGAATAGGTTAAACATTCCATAGTAATTGATAGTTGTCTTTTTCGTTCAACTGAAAATTTCCACATTGCCCCCAAAACTTTCAATAGCTAATAATTACAAGCCTTGCATACATTTGTAAAGTTCATGATTACATACTAAAGCTTACAGAAGAAATTCTGCAGACGATGTGAGTTTCCCGAAAGGAAAATTCTGAAAAAAAGTCTTTAAGGACAGAGGAGAAATTCGATGAGAGAAAGCTTGGCAGACATGATGAGACATCCCATATCCATAGCATCGATTTGTTTCCTTACTTTCCCATTCAGATGACTGCTTCTTAGCGCCCAATTATGACAAGGATCCAGTATCAGGCTACCTCTCAAGGAATATACCCACATGGACGGACATGGTTGATGAACACAAGAAGGAGAAGACCTCAAACCATTCTAGCATCGTTCTACTTCTAACGTCTAGCGCAAAAAGGGCAGTGGACCTGAATAGAGATACGCAGGCGTTCAAGGGAACTTGTGTCACGGCTAAGCTCTTTGCTAAGCACTTACGGGTAAGTGGATATTTGGTATCATTTATTTTCGCGGCAGACTTGTAGCCAGGAGAGCTGCTTTCATTGCATACATCTTCTTGAAGATGCCCTATATATTTTTTTTTTCAATTTCATTTCATGGATGCTCTCTTTCTTTTTGATGCCAGGCTGAAAGCCTGTTGGTAGGGGATGGTGTACTGGAATACCAGAAACACATGCATGCTTAATGAGATAGTTAATTGTATAGCATCACAACAATGAACTGAATCTAATGAGCCAGCTTGTAAATAGCTTCAAAACGCATGACCCCAAAATATCCACAGATCTTTTACCCGATGGATATGTCCCACTTACGCATTTTAGCATGATCACTGCAAAGGTGATGGAGTTGCTTCATGAATACCTTTTCTTTGCCTCTTGAGCAGAATACTTCCACCTGTGTATCAGATAAATGTACTGTCGGTGCATAAATGAATACTGATTACATAACTTACATGAGCACGATACCAGTATTCCTTTCGAAGTGTTTTACAATTTGGGAACAAATGACCTTTTTCAGCCCATGCGTAGATGGTATTTACGAGCTGGTTTATACCTGAAGTTCTTTTTTCATTACATGCTAGTATGAAATCGCTCTCTAACCAAGATAACCAAGATATTGAACCTGTGCTCTAGGGTTGACAGTGATCTCAGTTTTCCTAGTTTTTTGCCAATTTTCAGGCTTCTGTTAGATTCTAAACCTCCGATACATTTCTGTTTCGAGCTTTTTCAAGCTTCATGCTTTTCAGAAAGTACAGGGCTCCGACATGCTTGGTTCTCTTTTTAGAGGAATTATGTGAAACCAAATAGTATCCCCTGCTATGAAATAACCTAAACACTAATCAATCAGTCAATCAATGTATCCATTTTCTCTCTCATTTTCAGATCAGCGAGCAAGAGAAATACCTGAGCAGTCACAGAGTCCAGTTTGCCGTAGCGACGCCCCACAGAGTCTCCAGCCTTCTTGAATCTGGATCATTTACCATGGAAGATATGAAGTATGTCGTACTGGATTGGAACTGGCGCGATGCTAAGCTCAGGAGGTTTGTGGATATCCCCGAACTGAAGAAAGACCTCTTTGATTTGTTGAGGAAACATTTAGTACCGGCAGCCAACAAGGGACAACTCAGCTTTGGACTGTTTTAAGGACCCTGCATGGTGCTTGAACTACTTCGCTGGCTCCAGGTCTGTGTTTCATTCCTGTGCATTCACACATGAATCTTACAACTGAGTTGGAGTCATCTAAAACGTGTCAGAATAAGATGGTCCAGGAAGCTCAGGAAACCCCATTCAGGATTTTCTGTATATTGATCAGCTTGGATGAAGGAGAAGGTCTCACAAGGTTCACATTGTGCTGCAAAAGTTTTGTGTCCATCCTCAAAAACATTGAATGAAACCTCTCTATAAAATTGGCTATATTTATAAGCTGCTACTGGTACAAATTCTTCAAGGCCTGGGCCCCTCTTACAAAGAGTTACGATTAATCAAAATCAATCGCAAGTACTCTATCGCAAGTTTGCAATCTTCTATTTTTTATGTACATAGTTGCGATTGATATCACTTGCAAGTAAGTTGCGATTGATATCAACTCTTTGTAAGAGCCCTAAATTTCAGAAAGTATACAAAGTAATGCACTCTGAGGACTCAGTGATGGAATGAGCCTATGGATGCCATTTTTAATAATCTTATATTTTTCAGTCACTACATGCCCCAAAATGGCCAGTTCTACTTTGCAGGAGACCATTCATTAAATTTGTTGCTGTCTATTATGTAGTATATCAGCCCGGAGTCATTTGTTCACAGAGTTTGGCCAACTTGGTTTCACTTGGTCACAACATGGCTTATATTCTCTTGTTTTGTGCTTGCCCAACAAAGCAGTATTTCCCATATTGTGCCCAAACTATCCTTATCAATGGCTCATTACCAGCTTGGGGTCTAGCGCCATCTTGTGTCCCTTACTTTGAGAGATTCCCAAGTAATTTTGTATTGATAGCAGTATGTTACTGTGAATGTACTATGAAAATAATTGAATTAAAACAAAACATAACCTATTTTTGTTTTAAAAAAACTACTAGGAGTTGCATAAAGAGGAATAAGGATCAATCTTTAATGAGGAGGAAAAAAATCTTTGGTTTCCTCTTCTTGGCAATGTTTCTCCAAAGGTCAGGATTACTCTAACTTTGTCATATGAGTCTGAAGTGAAATATTTGGGGTTGAGTTACACCTGCCCAGTTTCATTTTAATATTTGAGTGATAATGATAATGTTTCTGTCTTGACCATGTTACTCAAGTACTCTTAAACACATGTCATAAGATTAGAAGTAATTTCCATGGAAATCCATGATTTTGTCAACATCCTCATTTTTTGCTTCCCTTCACTAACAGTTGCTTTTTTTAAAAGTTAGAAGTACATGGAAAAAGATGTGTTTCAATGGAAAAGACTTGCATACTGTGATACCTCAAATAAAGTGAAAAGATTTTTTTAAAAATGTGAAAAATAAATAACTGAAATAAAACATATTTTTTAAATTTCGCAGTGAGTCAATGGCTTTAACATATTGAAGCGTGCAACTGTAGGTGTCAATTGGTTAATGAATTTGGGTAATATTCCTCTATCAAGTTAACACTTATATGCCTTATTTTGGCAGAGGTGTCATGGTCGAGTGGTTAAGTCGCCAGACTGTCGATCACAAGGTCTGTGGTTCAAGACCTGCCACGGCACTAATGACTTTATTAAGACATTGATCTACATTTGCCACACTCAACCCAGGTGATGTAAATGGGTACCTGGCAGGAATTAATTCTTTGAAATGCTAGAGCGCCGTAATGGCAGCACAGCTAAAGCCGGGTAATAATCTCCAAGGTTGGAAGCGCTTAGTGATTGTAATAAGCGCTATATAAAAACTGAGTGTTATTATCATTATTATTATTATTATCAATTATGCAATTCAGACTTGATGTTATCTCTCATTATAGTTGTAGGGTGTTTCATTTGTAATTCCTTGCCAAATATGTGATGAACAAAAAATCTTTCTAACATTGCATATGTTCAAGGTACATATATAAGAGACTCTTTTGAACTGATAACTATTATAAAAGATAAAGAGTAATGATTTGGCAACAAGATATCCTGAGTCCAAATTTCTTTGAGGTAAATGTAAGGGAGCTTAATAATAATAATAAATAATAGCTAGTTCTTATATAGCGCTTTTCTCAAAGCGCTTTACAGATATATATATTATTACCCTGGTCATATAGGATTCAGGCTTACCCGCACACAATGTATGCACATTCTCCACTCCCTGGGGAGCATTCCAGCCAGGCGTCTTTTTTACAAGCACACACTTGCTAATCTAACCACATTAGCTTTCGCATCCTACCGGGTAGCTTGAATAAGTATGCATAGTATTAAACAATATTTTTTGTTCATGATCTTCTTGTATTACTAACTGACCTAGGCCCAAAATGAGATGGAAAGTTTCGTCATTGAAAACCTAAAGCAGATTGAAAAGCTTGCATGCATTTGAAATTACATGTACATTGGAATACAAACATGTATCAAGTATCTTATTGATAATCGTAATCATTCATCACACATGAATTTTCATTGCATATATTTTCTTTTTCCATATATGTAAAGAAAGAATTAACAAAATGTATTTTGAAAACCATACACAAACTTCTCTTTTATGTGAGTTGAAACCATTGAAAGTGCCGTTTTTAATAATAGAATGCTTAGTTATTTATCAATGTATAAATAATAAAAAAGGACATCTCATTTCCTGTGTATATTGTTATTTGTCTTGTAAAGTTTTTATTTGTTTAACTTCTTCCCCCAACCATAGTCCCTATCACTAACTAGGCAAATCTCTATATAAAATGGCCTTTTAACCCATATGGTGTAAGTCGCAACTCTTTAATACTTTTTTTTTTAACATCGGCAAACTTTTTTTAAAGATCTGTCTCATCTCATGATTTGTTTGAAATTTCCCAATAGTTTTTTTTGTGGTAATAATTGTTTGCTACAAGCATTTAGATATATGGAATTTCTAATTACATTAATTTCTCTTATGTATAATGGTAGCACAAACTTTGCAAGAAAATGCTTAAACATAGATTAAATTGAAATATATGCAAGTGTTTCAGTCGTTCACAACAAGCCTCGATAAAAGTCAGTTCATGATAATCTTCCTGCTGTTCATTCCTAGCTTTGGCAAAAAACAAATAAAGAAAGAACAACCAAAACAAAACATTCAAACGAACAAACAAATAAAATCGGTATCAAAGGTAATGTTCTTAACAGTAATTCACTCCTTCCATCCAATCAGTCTGCATATAGACAGTTTCATAGTACAGAAACGGCACTACTCAGGATCAAGAGTGATATTCTGATTGCAATGGACAGACAGAAAATCACTCTCCTGTTATTACTTGACTTGAGTAGTGCCTTTGACACTATTGAGCATTCCAGATTACTAGATATTTTGAAGATATGTTGCGGTATCGACGGTGTTGCTCTCGGCTGGATCGAGTCATACTTGTCAGATCGGCATCAAAAAGTTAAAATTGATGGCATTGTCTCTGACTCTTTCCAGGTGCCCTTTGGTGTGCCACAGGGCTCTCGGCTCGGCCCTTTGCTTTTTATGTTATAAACGAGTAATCTAATCAAGAGCACTCGGGATAATTTTCCTGAAGTCTCCTGTCACTGTTATGCAGACGACACACAATTATTTTTATCCTTTAGACCATCCACTAGTACTCAAGATGCAAGTGTTTCAATGTTGGAAAAATGTGTTAATTTTATTCATAGATGGATGCTTAACAATAATCTTAAGCTAAACGATAATAAGAGTGAATTTTTGGTTATAGGAACTCCACAACAGATCTCAAAAATAAGCATTGACGGTGTAAGAGTTGGATCCTCCAATGTGATACCCTCTGTTACAGCAAGTAATTTAGGAGTATACTTTGATACTAATTTAACCATGGAAACACATGTTAAAAATATATGCAAATCAACATACTATCTTCTGTACAATCTCAGACGTATCCGCAAATATTTTGATCAAGAAAGTATGAAATCGGTTGTACATGCTCTTATCACAAGTAAGCTTGATTATTGTAACGGGTTGCTGTTTGGAATGCCTGATTCTCTGATAGCTAAGTTACAAAGAGTCCAAAATGCATGTGCAAGACTTGTCTATCGTCGGTCGAAATTCACTTCAACCGCACCTCTTCTGAGAGAACTCCACTGGTTGCCAGTCCGTCAAAGAATCTCATTCAAAATACTGTTAATTGTCTATAAATAATTGAGTGGTCAAGCCCCTAATTACATCACAGAATTACTTCAACTCAAAGTCCAATCACACAGTCGTAGCCTGCGCAGTTCCACAGATAAATTATTGTTTCAGATTCCCCATGGCAAAACTAAAGTAACTCTTGGGGACCGTGCTTTTGCTATTGCTGCCCCCAAACTATGGAATAGCTTGCCAATAGAAATACGAAGCACTCCATCTCTCAATGTTTTTAAATCCAATTTAAAAACTTATTTGTTCAACTGAGTGATCTTATTTTGTAGAATTTAGTAAAAAGGAGCTCTTAACCAGCGCAGCTGAATATATTTTGTATAAAAGCTGCGCTATTTAAATTTATTTTTATTATTATATTTAGTCCATAATCTTGAGTTTTGGTTATGACAAAAGAATTCTCAAAGATTCAAATGAAACTTGCACGGAATGTTCTCAACTATTATGGTAGAAAATACAATAACTTCGAATGATTCACTTGCTAAACATGGCCCCGTTGCATAAAACTTAGCATTGATGATAACTTTGCCATCAATGGTAATTAGTAACATGGAAACCTTGATTTTGATTAGATGTTGAGCCCTGTTTCCATCGTAGTTACCATGAATGGTATGCAGGGGCGAATCTAGCTATTTACCAGTGGCGGATCCAGGATTTTCCAAAAATCGCACCGTTTTACTGTTTTACATCCCCCCCCTTTTTTTCCCTTCTTCCCCCCTTTTTTTCCCTTCTCCCCCCCCCTTTTTTCCCTTCTTCCCCCCTTTTTCTTCTTCTTCAATTTGCCGCCCAAGAGGGGGTTTAAACCGCCGAACCCCCTCCCTAGATCCGCCCCTGGTATGTTTTATGAAACGGGGCCCAGCAGGTATGTCATGTATATGTGTTGTGCTTTCCGGTACATGCGGTTTCTAGCAAGTATTTTTGGTTAATGGGGACCCCAGTCACACAATCGAAACCAACCATCTGTGCCCTGTTACATTGTAAAGTGATTATATGTTTATAAACAGAATATTGATGTACTTCAATGAAGTTTAATAAATACAATACATACATACATGAAACTTGTTATCAATAACAAGTTGCAATAACTGTTAAAAGCTACTGAAATCGAGGCATTTGATTGGCAAAGAGCATATTTGTCATAGAAATTTGTCATTTTTTTAATTGATATAATTTTTTTTATGAAACGGGGCCCAGAGCAACGATAGATCGCTGAAAATCAAATCGCCACGAATGGAAAATAATCGGTCGGTACGGGATGTGACTGGAGTATCAAACCTCTGTCACACCGCCAACCCGATTCCGAACCGACCGATTCTGTTGTCCACTTTTTTTTTCTTTCATTCATTTCGGTTTATTGAGTCAAAATTCCATGTTAAAACAGTCGTGAGACTGATACAAACAAAGATTACAAAGTTTAAAAAAATAAAGAGAAATTACAAATACATCAACATGGAAACATCACAAATTAGTTCAAGGAATAAATTAGCGATAATAATAATGGAAATTTCAATATATTGCACAGCATACGTAAAATAAATCGAATTTACATACATGGATGAGTGGGGGAAAAGAAGCTAAAAAAGAGAGAATGGACAAAGCATTTCATTTCCTTTTCTCGTAACATTTAGAATTTGAGCATTTACATTTTAAACACAAAATTGGTATGTAAAACGTGATGGTGATAATATCGGATATACATGTTTTAACAATAAACAAATCTACTAGCAAATTTAATAATAATAATGATATTTTAAAGCCCACTCCAAATTTTATTAAAACGAAAATGGAAATTCTTTTTGCCCAATTGATCGTGGGCCCGGCAGCCACTGAGCAGCGCCAGATCGACGTTGCTCTATCCCCTTATTGTTGAACGCCAAACAAGGTAGCAGCAACTCCCGTCTTTTAACGTCTTTATGAAGAATATGAAGAGAGTTGGAAATTAAGAAATGAAATGGGCACCTGCAGAAGATCTAAAGAAATAAGCGTGTGTAAATAATGTATACACAAATTTGTAAAAGCTAACAAAATTAAACGCAGTGTCTCATTCTGGCATTATTATACTATATATATATATATATATATATATATATATATATATATATATAGAGGAGAGTAGAACAGTGGGAGGAGAAAAGACAACAACAACAACAACAAAGACAACAGCTAGCTACGGCT